GGGCCCGGCCCGGCCGCCGCGGGAGCGCCGTGCGGCTCGCCCGTGGCGGCCCGGGCCCGAGCGCGGCCGTGGCAGGTGCGCCGGCAGCGCTTCCGGGGAGGCGGAGGCCGGCGCGCTGCGATCCAGGCACGTCCCTTGCACCCCGGGCGGGCGCAGCTTGCCGCCCGGCCGGAGCGTGGCCCTCCGGTCGCGGCAGGCGCGCCGCCGCCTTCGGAGAGGTTGGAGCGGCGGGGCAGTCGCGGGAAAAGGCAGCGCGTCCCGGTCCCCTGCGCAGCCGAGTGGCGCAGCTCGCTTCCGCGCGATGCCGCGATGGCCATGACAACGGGGCACCCCGGCGCTGCGGAAGCAAAGGGAAGCGGTGTGCGGAGCCGGTGCAACGGCGGAGCCCGGGCGGCCCACGGAGTTGGCTAAGCCGGGGGGCCCTTGCTCCCGCTCGGGCACCTGGCCTTGCCCCCTCGCTCCTGGGGCAAATGGGTGGCAGAGCGCTGTGCAGGAAACGCCTGCGAGGTGGCCACCTGGCCTGCGGTTCCCGTCCTGCCCATTTCCCCCCTTCGTCCCAAACAGCTGCCGATGGCCCAGCAGGCCAACAGTGCTCTGCTCCCCTTTACCATTTCTCTGGGGAAGCTCGGGGGGCACCCTGTCCCCCACCGTTTCAAACCAGCACAAAGGGGCTCCCCGGCACAATGTTTAATGATGTTGTTAGTCGCAAAGTCGTGTCTGACCCATCGCGACCCCACGGACAACATTCCTCCAGGCCTTCCTGTCCTCCGCCATCCCCCGGAGTCCACTCAAGCTCACACCGACTGCTTCAGTGACTCCATCCAGCCACCTCATCCTCTGCAGTCTCCTTCTTCTTTTGCCCTCTATTGTTCCCAGCGTCAGGGTCTTCTCCAGGGAGTCCTTCCTTCGCATTAGGTGGCCAAAGTATTTGAGTTTCATCTTCAGGATCTGGCCTTCTAAAGGGCGGTCAGGGTTGATCTCCTCTAGGACTGACCGGTTTGATCGCCTTGCGGTCCAAGGGACTCGCAGGCGTCTCCTCCAGCACCACAATTCAAGGGCCTCAGTCCTTTGGTGCTCAGCTTTCCTTATGGTCCAGTTTTCACAGCCATAAATTGCAACTGGGAAAACCATAGCCTTGACTATATGCACTTTTGTTGGCAGGGTGATGTCTCTGCTTTTTAGTATGCTGTCTAGATTTGCCATAGCCTTCCTCTGCAGGAGCAAGCGTCTTTTAATTTCTTGGCTGCAGTCCCTGTCTGCAGTGATCTTGGGGCCCAGGAAAATAAAATCTGTCACTACCTCCATTTCTTCCCATCTATTTGCCAGGAAGTGAGAGGACCGGATGCCATGATCTGAGGTTTCTTGATGTCGAGTTTCAAGCCAATTTTTGTGCTCTCCTCCACCCGCATCAAGAAGCTCTTTAGTTCCTCTTCACTTTCTGCCATTAGAGTGGAATCTGCATATCTGAGGTTCTTGATATTTCTCCCAGCAATCTTAATTCCAACTTGCAATTCATCCAGCCTCACCTTTCTCATGATGTGCTCTGCGTATAAGTTAAATAGGCAGGGTGACAGTATACAGCCTTGCCGAACTCCTTTCTCAGTTTTGCACCAATTAGTGGTTCCGTGTCCAGTTCTCACTGTTGCTTCTTGACCTGCATACAGGTTTCTCAAGAGACAAGATGGTCTGGCACTCCCATCTCTTTAAGCACTTGCCACAATTTGTTGTGATCCACACAATCAAAGGCTTTAGCATAGTCAATGAAGCAGTAGTAGATGTTTTTCTGGAACTCCATAGCTTTCCCCATGATCCAGCATATGTTGGCAATTTGATCTCTAGTTCCTCTCCCTCTTCGAAATCCTGCCTGTACTTCTGGTAGTTCTCGGTCCACACACTGCTGGAGCCTAGCTTGTAGGATTCTGAGCATCACTTTGCTAGCATGTGAAATGAGTGCAGTGGGCGGTAGTTTGAACATTCTTTGGCATTTTCCTTCATTGGGATCGGAACGCAAACTGACCTTTTCCAATCCTGTGGCCACTGTTGAGTTTTCCAAGTTTGCTGGCATATTGAGTGTAGCACTTTTACTGCATCATCTTCCGGCATCATATCTTTTTGCCTTTCGGTACTGTCCATGGGGTTTTCATGGCAAGGGTACTGGAGTGGGTTGCCATTTCCTTCTCCAGTGAATCGCGTTTTGTCAGAGCTCTCTGCCATGACCTGACCATCTTGGGTGGCCCTGCACGGCATCGCTCATAGCTTCATTGAGCTACGCAAGCCTCTTCGCCACGACAAGGCAGTGACCCATGAAGCGGGGACACGATGTAGCCAGTCATATAATGGCTGCCACGGGGTGCAAGGTGGCCGCAAGGGGTGGTGCAGAGGTGAGGGTGAAGCCAGAGACGGGGATGGATGGACATCAAGGCCAGCAAGCGGGCAGGAGAGCGCCAAGCTGGGCTGAGAAGGGGCAGCTGGAGCAGGGCCAGGAGCTGGGCAGAGACCACTGGCAAGGCTCAGGATGGGGAGGGGAGAGCGAGCGAGCGAGCAAGAGCGAAGGTGCTAGGACTGCACGGGAGGCGCCAGGAGCAGCCAGCTCTTCTCTGCTTGCTTTCTCTCCTGGCCTGGTGGACAGCCAGCGAGTGGCCGGGAGGAAAGAGCCCTGGTGTATTTCATGTGGTTTTGCATTAAAAATACAGTTTTGAAGATAGAGACCTTCCCAAGGTAGATAGCTAGGCCTTTTCTGCCTTTTTACATCAGCATTATAGGGAACCGGATTTTGCAGGCTACAAAATGCTATCAGTCATCAAACTTACTATAATGCAATAAATAAACGGGGGCCATGTGCATTTTGTGCCCCGCGATTGGGAAAGCTGCGCCTCAGCAGAGAAGTTCGCTGAGGCAGATGCGAGCTCCTTTGTGCTCACCCACACTCTCTGCACTTCTGCCTCAGCTGTCCTGATGGGCGGCCCACCAGCTCCATGGCCTGCTCCTGCCAGTCGGCTTCCAAGGCGAAAGCAAGAGGACCGAAGCCCAGCGACTCCAGAGGCTGCAGATACGCTTGGACAAATGTGTGCGGACGCTGTTCCACAGACAAAGCAGCTTTCCGGTTTATTGAGGTAGTTGAGCAAGCGTGGATACAGCAGCGGGTGAGGGGAGCCGCCCAGTGGGGGCCAGCCCTGGCCTCCGGGTGGCGTGGCCAGGTGCAGGCGAGGTGTCCAGCAACCCAGTTTGCCCGGCTACTGGATTCTTTGGTTTCCCACCCCTTGGATTATCCGACATTTGCAAACACTGGTGCATTTACGGTTCAGTTGCATTTTGCTCTGGGACTGCCTTCTGCAGCACAAAATGCTGATTAAGCTGACGCACCATTCCAGCATCCAAACACAAGCCTCCCTTCTCGCACGCCTCATGAGCGCCCTCAGCAGCTGGACTGCAGCTCGCATCAGCTGTGGGCTGCGCTGGGGCATGCTGGGGATGGGAGTCTGGCCACGTCTGGAGGCCACATGCTCCTCCCCCCTGCTCTCCAGCAGAGAGTGGGCTTTTGCTGGGGCAATCCAGCCTCTGCCTTTGGAGCAATGGCTGCCTTCGCGGCCCTGGCAGGCGCAGGTCACTCTGCCCGGACGCTGCTGCTCTGATGGAGTCTAACCTCCATCTGCGTGTGGGCTGTGTACAAAACTAAAGGTAATGCTGAAACATTTTAAAGACCGGCCCTGGACCCGAGGACTCCAGTGGCCATCACACGCTAGCCTTCAAAATACCCATATTAATGATGTTTGGCCCATGGAAGTCGCAGCCTTGCTAGGCACTTCATCATCGATGCGGTTTTGGTGTTCTCGGGACAACTGAGCTCCTCTTTCATTCCTCCAGCGACAAGGGCTTTCGGGTGATGTGCCCTTCAGGCAGCGGCTCGAAGTGATCTGAGGCTATCTGAATGCGGGCTGCAGGGCAGAAGCAGGCCTGGAGTACCAGCAGCCACGACGCGCGTGTCGGATGCACCCTTCCTGCTGACCGTGATGTCCCACCCAGTGACGCAACCTGTCCAGGCTGGTGCATCAGAGATTTTCTGAATTGCAGCAAAAAAAACCTTCCTAAGAGGTGTGCTCTCCTCTGGGTCTTTTTAAGTCTGCATATATGTGTACAAGGCTATTCTTAAAATGGAAGACGGGAGCATCGTCGGGACCGCAGAGGCTTCGCATTTCAACATGAGCTGCTTGATAAAATGCAACAGAAACGCGGCAAAGCCGCCCGCCTGCCCGTTCCAGCTGTGTCCCCTCTCAGGTCCCGTCTTGGCCCGAGGCAAAGCCTCCCGGAAACGACGCCTCCAAGCCGTTCCCTCCGCCAGCCTCGGGGTCAGATGTCCCATTTGTCGCTGTAGAACGGCGTCACGTGGAACATGTAGCAGTGGGTGCACACGCGGACAGGTTTCATCTGGCCGTACCGAGGCAAAGGGGCCGAGTGAGAAGAGCAGCGGGAGCAAAAGATCTGAAAGGCACGATACAGACCGAGTTCAGTGTCTCTGTTTTCCTCAGGTGTGCAACGCACTTGCCCACACCTGCTGTGGGTGGGCAACAGCCCCGCAGCCTCCATGTGGGGAACCGGCTCCCCACTTCTCTTTCAAACACAAAGGTCTTTGGCAAAGGTCTTTATTCCTAATGACTCCAGCAAGCAACGGCTAGCAGTCTCTGAGCATGCCCAGAGCAGTTTGTGGAAGCAATTCCTGGGAATCCTCCTTTTGGGTAACCCTGGGCCCACCCCTCTGGAGAAGGGCCAGCCCCCCACCGGCATGCAGGCCCCCTCGCTGGCCGGCCCTTCCTTCTCCCCCGACACCACGGCCCTGGCGGAGCACGGTGATTGAGGCTGCGGAAGCAGGCAGCACGCGCCCCCCTCTGCTGCTGATCCGCTCCGCAACAGGAATGGGGTGTGCCTGCCGGTGCTGGACGAGGGGATCCCCCATGAGATCGTGGCAGAACTCTCCTGCGGGCACGGTGCCCATCGGGGGGGCACGGGCGCAGGCCAGCTGGCACCTTGCGGCATCGCTGTGCAACCATCTTTCCAGGCTGGGGCTGCAGGGGATTTGCTTCTCCGCATGCCGCTCATGTTTTCCATGCGCTTCATACATGCTGGATTTCAACCCTGCCTGTGCGCTCCAGCCAGCCACGTGGCACTGGGGCTTGGAGGGTTACCTTCCCACAGCTCCGGCAGTGATGCTTCCTGCGGATCACGGTGAAGGGGGCATTGCATGCAGTGCAGAAGCTGCAGGCTTCATCCGGCACCCACTCGGGAGGATCTGTTAAAAGCAGAGGATGATGAAGAAACCGCATTCCGAATTCTAGAGAAACAAACTCTGTATCAAGGTTTGCTTCCCTTTCCACTCTGAAAAGTTCAGTCTCTTGCCTCGACATATAGTGGGAAGGAGGATGAAGCAAAGGGAAAGCGGTAGGGTGGGAAGGGATTGTAATTGCTATTGCTATTAACTGTATTATTAATTTTATATAGTTGTTCCAGAGATGGGTGGTGACCACAAAGAAGACCCTCCTTGGAGCTGGCACTTGGAGGAAGGCCCAGAGTTGAGCATAGTGTCCCTTGTCGGAGTGTCCAAAAATGATCAACATTCCCGTTCCGCCTTAGTGCCCTCAAGGAATGTCTTCTAGGAGACCCTGGAAGGCCAGGGCAGCTTAGTGGTGAAGGGCACCAAACTGGGAAGCAGAAGATCAGGGCGATGGAGCTTCCCGAGGGACTCTGGGCCGGTCACAGGCTCTCAGCCTCACCTACTTTGAAGGGTTTTGTTGTAAGGAGAGAATGGAGAGGAGCAGAACCTGGTAGGCCAGCTGGGTTCCTTGCAGAGACGGGGCACAACTGCAATGCAATGATCACAACAGCAACAACTGCAATGAGCTGCATCTAACCTGGTCATGTGACCTGAAGTAGACCTACTGAAATCAAGGGGAGATCTGTCACGACAAATTTGTACATATTTTAGCCATAATTAAACCTTGTTCCACCTAATCCATGGTTTGTAGAACATACTATGTGGGCTGCTTTCCTTATCTAGGTACTTCCAGCCACTCAGCGGGTCCTTGGCCCTTAATGATGCTGCTTGGCTGACACTCCTTTGCATGTCGATCCCGGCTGAGCTTTCTCCTGCAGGCTTCCGAAGGAATGCCGAAACATATTCTTCACAGTCCTGGCAACAGATATCTCCTTTTTCAGATGTTTTCTCAATATCGAGTTTAAATCTATTATTATTTTATGTTTCTTTTTCCTGATGACAGGTGTGTTTGGAATACACAGACTGGACCCAGAGGATCTAAAAATCCCAGGTGTAACATTCTCTTTGCAGAATATGCCGCAGAACGTGTCTTGCCACAATTGTAACTCACAGCTTTGGTAAAACTGTAATTTAATTTTATAGTATTTAAAATTAATTTAATTTTATATTATTTTGTTTGTATCTCAATGTATTTTTTGTATTTTTGTAGTTATTGGCAATTTATTATGTTCTATTGTATTTCAATGTATTTTATTATGTTGTAATCCGCTCCGAGGCTTCGGCAAGGGGCGGCATAGAAATGTAATAATAATAATAATAATAAAAATAAAACAGACAATAAGGCTCTGCAAAAGAGGTACCTTCAAAGTTTCCATTCTTGGCCTTCTCTGCAGGTTCCGAAGACGACACGGTCTCCTGACAGAGCGCACAGTCTTCGGGAGCTAGGTTGCTTAAATGGGGATTGACTGGCAAGGCAAGGAAAGGAAGCCACGTGAAGAGAAGCCGTGCGGGTCGGCCAAAGGCTGCCCTGCAGGCACACGGAGACCTGAACTCGTCTGAGCCCGCTGCGGGTTTCTCCCACGCCCCCGGCAGAGTGCTCAGCGGTGCGCACGTGCAGGGCTGCTCCAGAGTCTGGCGTGCTGTCGGCTCCTCGTGCTCCATGCATGGGGCAAAGAATTTGGATGCCTCGGGCTGGCAGCAGCCTCCATGTCGCAGGCTGGTCCCTTCCCTCTGCTTTCCCTCAGGTGGCAAAGCTCAAGGAGCCTTTATTGCAACTCTGCAGTTGACAGAGCAGCTTGACTCGAAGCAGGCCCTGCGCTGCAGCTGCTCCCTTTCTGGCTGTGCCTTTGGGGCTCTGGCCACTGAAGGGCAAGCCGGCAAGGGGGCCTGTGGCTGAGCAGCTCCTCTCTCTTAGCCCCCCCGGGGGCAAGGGCCGGGTCCCACATCTGCCCCACCCCCCGTCCCCTTCCTCCAGAACTTGCGTGCACGTGACTCGGAAAGAAGGCTTCTCATGAATAGTCTGAAAATGCCGCTTGCCTTTCTTTTGCAATTTCTTGTCCTCCACATCGGGTTTGGTTGCCATCGCTTCGAATAAGGTCTTTAAAATACTTCGCAAGTCACAGGCATAGTTGGTCTGCAGCTGGTCTGCGACACCTAACCAATTGTGGAAACGGTTAGAAGTTAAAACCTGTGAAGGTTTAATGCTGCTTCATAACTATTGAAATAGCCATGGTGGCCTGATTAGTAAAATTTGGGGGCAGCAGCCTGTGTACCTGCTGTTCCCACACGACGTCCTTTGCACCAGCCGCTGGCACAGGGGAGCTTCCGCACTTCCCAAAACTACCAGGAAGCAGGTGCAGAGGCTGGTTTTTCAGGCTGGGCAGGACTTCAGTCCAAAGGACACCTGGTACTCCTTGTTCACTAATGCTGTGTGAACTGTTTCAGGCTAGTTTTGGGGCATATTAAAAGATGTTTTCAGGACTGCGCTTGGCATCATGAGACAGGCCCCTCCTAAGTGGAGCACCTCCGGGCTCTTTAGTCGTTCTCCTCAGCAGAAGGAGCCAAGCGGGAGCTCTCCAGCAGCCGCGAGTGGCAAGCAGGCTTGTCCACAAAAATCTGGGCTTTAAAACCAGTGAGCCGGGTTGTGGTTCCATGCAGACTGGGCTGCTGCCTGGAACTGGGCCAGCACCAGGATCCGGACTCAGTTGTGCGGGGGCCTTAAAGCCGTGTCCTGCATGGGTGGCCTCCAAGCTGGGGCTGAGGGCACAGTTTGAAATGTTTATTTGCAGGAGGCAGGACATTCCCAGCTGGCTTGCAAAGCAAACTCTCGCTGGCTCCGATCAGGTAGGGAGGGAGGGAGGGAGGGAGGGAGGGAGCTGGGCTGGAGAGCAGGCCTTTCCGAACTATGGAACCAGCTTCTATAGCTGTTTTCTGAACCGCAGTTGTGACAAACAGTTCCTGAAATCTTGTCTTGTCTGAAGTGCAGCTCTGTTATAATCCTGCAGCCTGTACATTTCATTTACAGCATATTTAACGAGTAAAACCAAAGGAAGATGCCAACCTGAGATGCACACAAAAAGCCGGTGAATGAGGTCGCTGCTGCTGTGGAATCGAGACCGGACCGGATCTGCCGAGGCCGTTTGCACTGCCCGGGAGCCCAGCTGGGTTTCCTCCAGATCCGATGAGCCAGCACCCGCTGTCCAGATGCTGCAAGGGGAGGAGGCCAAACGGCACAGATAAGCCTCGGCTTTCCCTTCGTGATCCAGCACAGCCGGCCCTGTGGCGGCGCCCGGCTGGTCCGCAGAGCTTGCAGGAGGCGCTTCCGGCCCGGCTGGGCCCTGGAACGAGCGCCCTGCTTGGCGCGCTGGGCAGCTTTTCGTGGGCGGTTCTGCTGGTCCCGAGAGCCCCGCGTGCTCTTGCCTGAGCCGAATCTTGGCGGCAGGCTTGGGTCCGAGGCTGCTGCAGCATTTCACCCACAAGGGCGCTGTGCTGCAGTCGCCTGGATGGCCAAGGCGTTCTTGGAGTGGTCGCCCTGCTCTGACACAGCGGGACTCTGTGGGAAGACACCCTGCCCAGATCTGTTTTGGTGGGGGGCCCGCCTCTCCCCTTCCCCTGTATATCCAGGAGGGCTCCCCTCACCTCTCAGCCCCACTGAGGCTGCTGCCAATCATGCCAGAGGAGTGCCAGTGGCCCGGGCCGCATCGCCGCCTTGCGGAGCCATGCGTGGGAATGGTGGCGTGGAGAGCCAGCGAGGTGGCGCTGCCCTCGTGGACCTAGCCCGGTCCTCCGCAGAGCCAGCATCCTGCGAGGTGCGGGCAGCCGTGATCGTGTCCGCCACCCGGCCCTCCAGCCTTTGAGGGCTTCCCCTCTGGCCCTTTTGCGGAAGGAGACAAAGACTCTCCGGGCGTAACCAAGGCGCTCGTGGGTTCCTCTGCCTCTGGGGCCGGCACAAGCGGGCAGGCTCTGGGCACGGCTCTGCCCCTCACCTCGGCAGAAGAGACGCCCCCCGCATGGCCCCGGCAGCAGAATGGCTGGGGCCAGCCCTGGGCCAGGCCACACGGCTCCTGGAAGAGCCGAGCCAGAGGGGGCCAAGCACCTGTGGGTGTGGGGCCCCCGCCACACCGCTCCACTCCCATACGGGCCTGTGGCATTGGAGGGAGGCTTGGGCGGTCCAGAAAACGGGGGTGCAGAGTGATCCGTGCATGCGCAAGCCGGCTGAGGCTTATATTACGTTCGTGGCATAACCCTAAACAGCAGGAACAGTTCAGCCAAGCAGTGGCAGGGCTTACGTTTCATGGCTGCAGAAAATCCAGCGGCATATTACAAACCAGACTGGTGCTGGAGCAAAGAAGAATGCAAATCTCCAAGGCCAGTTGTTCTGCCTATGAAGCAGAGTTAAAGAAAGTTATAAGAGGATTGCTTGCCTTGAGCTGGATCGAGATTCCTTGTCTTCATTCACTATTCTTCCATTCGTTTCTTCAGCGACTAGAGATGACATTTCAGTTAGAAGCTGCCTTTCGTACTTTGGCTGACCCATGATTCCTTCGTCCATTTCGGATCCATCCTCGGCTGCACGCTCGGGACCTGGGGCTGCTGCCCTGCACTTGCAGGCGCCGGGAAGAGCCAGGGCCTCTTCAGAAGGGTCTCTTTCTGCCAGCAAAATGTACGGTTCGCCATGTAATTCTTCTCGTGCAGAGAGCACACGTTCCCTTTGATCTCGATGACCCCTTTCTTTCAATTTTAGCGAACTGGAAGATGGGTTGATCGTGTTTCCCATAAAACCGTTCATCTTTAAGCGGAGGTTTTCCTCTCCGCTGTTCTCGCGGGCCCCACAACACGCACAGGGATTAACGAGGGAATTTGTGCCAGCCACGCGGAGCTGGCGGAGCTCTGGGTCTTCCTCAGCCAAAGCACACAAGTCTCTGACCTTGGCTGAAGCTGAGGGCTCCAGGCCTGCAGAAGATCTGGGATTGAATATGACTGTGGCAGAGATTTTCATTCCCCCGGTCCGCTGGGCGATGATTTCTGCCGCCTCTGCATCGTGCGTGTAAACATCCCAGGTGCCGAAGTACAGGTGTGACTCGGGGCCTTCGGAGCAAGTGCAGGACTTGGGAGGGGAGGCATCAGACACACGGCGGCTCTCCTCAGCACTGCGGCTGTCACTGAGGTCGCACGGCCGGCGCTTGGACACGGCAGGCTCGCCGCACGGCACAGCACGGCAGGGTCCGCGGCACGCGTCCCTGGCTGAGCCTCTCCCGGCACAGGCATGCCTGGCTGCCTCTAAATCGTCGATGAAGAACACGTGCTCCTCCTCGCCAGCCAGGCTGCCCGTCGGGGAGGGCTCCCCGCTTGAGCCACGCTTCGGGCCAGGCCGGCCAGCCGGGGGGCTGCGGGGGGCGGGCGGTGAGAGCAGCAAGGACATCTCGTCTCCCGCCCTGCAGACCATCTGGCTCAGCTGCTCCAGCTCCTGCTTGTCGTGCTGCATGGAGCAGGCCAGCTCCGCTTCGGCGTTCTCAGACCTTTCGGGCAGAGCATCGGAGGGCAGCGCTGCCATTAAGTTGGGAATCAGAGCAGAGGGCACTTCGGGGCCACCACGGGCAGGAAAGTCGAAATCCTGGGATATGCAGAGGTTGCATTCCAGAATATATAACTCTTTATCTGTCAAAGTCTGTAGCAGATCCCTACGATAAGAAATAATGCAGTATGCTAAATATCACTAAGCTGACGGTTTCCACACTGCCCAACTATTGTGTAAACTTATTCTAATAGTAATTCCAGTTAATGTATTGGAGGACTATAGTTATTCTGAATGCATTCAGAATGCAGAATGCATTTCGTACTTCTGATGTGCTTCTCCGTCAGCCACGGCTGTGGTGCCTGCATTCTCCAGCTCTTCTCACTCATTGTCCTATAGTCCAACTGCTTCCACCCCAGGCCAACTCCTCCTATACCATTGTGAGCGAGGCTCTGGCTCCCGGCACCATGAGCAGCCAGCCGTGGTGGCACCATCCAGTGCGACCCTCGTGCTCAGCCAGTCGCGCTGAAGGCTGCGCCTCTCGCCTGCTTTCATGGTGCGTTCGGATCCTGCGACAGCCCAGCCTCGAGGACGGTGCGTGGGTCGTCGCGGCCCCATTGCTGCTGCTGAAGCACAGGCTGCCCTTTATCTGAACTGCGGGGGGGGGGGGGGAGCATTTGGTCAACAAGGAAGCTCTCCAGGTGGGATTGAGATCTAGCAGCTTTTTTGGACATCTAACACTTGGTTATTCTTATAATCAAAAGCAGGACACACACCCTACAGCCATCTCAAACAGAACAAGGAAACATAAATAAAAAGACTTAAGATACTGTTCAAAATGTTCTCCTCAAAACTACAAATAATAGCAAGAATAGTAATTGCACTGGGCTTATACCCCCACTTTTTTTCTCCCATGAAGAACCCAACTCTCTATCATATCCGCACCAGAGCGACCCACCAGGTTGCGGGTCCGTGACTGGCCCAGCGTCACCCACAGCCGAGGAGGGGCCACGGCGCAATCTCCTGGGTCCCAGCCAGAGCACTGTGCCACACCACCACCAGCCCTCCCGGTGCAATGGAAGAGCGACATGGAAGGACGTGCCAGAAGCGGGTGAGGTCGTCGGAGTGGAGGCCAAGCGCCCGGCACTGGGCTGCCTGCTGCAGCCCGGAGCTGGCGAAGGGCTGGTGGAACGGAGGGGCCTCCTCTGAGACACTCGTGGACTTCGCTCTTCTCCATGCGCAGTTCCCAGCCCTCCACTTTCCAGAGGTGGAAGTCCCCAAGAGCACTCGGCCGTAGTGTGGACCACGTGGTGATTCCTACATCCAAGATCGTTCCTGCAGAGTGGCCTTCGGGACGGGCTGCTCTGAGCACCCCCAGGGGGGTTTTCTAGGATTGCTAGAGCAGCGTGTGTGAACGGCGTGCGAGAAATGGGAAGGATACTCTTCACACCGAAGAGGATTAAATTACTTGCCTTATTTTCCTTAGCAATGTGTGAAAGGGCCTGAAAAGTTCGGACATGTCTTCTTCTTTGCGGTCAAGGTTCAGGGGACCCTCTGGGTAAACAGCCAGCCCGCTGCAACGCAAAAGGCAAGAAGGCAAGTGCACTTCATCTCGACCTGAACAGCGGAAGGAGCGGCGGGGCCAGGCCAGACGCAGGAGCCCTGAGGCCCTCCAGCCTGACTCTTTCCGTGGATCCCTTGCATGCAGTTTGATTTGCTGACAGCATTTCTATGCTGTCCCACTGCAGTGAACCATGTAAGGGTTGGCAGGCGGTGGCCAAGGGACAGCGCGGGTCCTGCCAGGCCTCCCATCAGCAGAGGCTGCTGAGACGGAAGCGGCAGCAGCAGCGCTTTTGCGGGGCGAGGGGTGATGCCCTTGAAATCAGAAAAAATGGGAGCAGCCCCGGTTGAACTTGAGATTTGGGAAGCCATGCGCAGCGAGGAAAATGTCTCGACAGCGTACTTACCATACAATGGCTAATCGTGGGATCGTAAACATCAGCGCTGGCTCATAGTCATCGATCATGTCTTGAGTAAGGTACCCAAGCTTTAAAGCTCTGTACGGAACAGAAGATCAGACCATTTGAGCAAAATGGCTCCGCCAGGTGCGCTTCCCACAGCAGCCCTCGGGCGTGGCTCACAGGTGGGACGGGGGGCAGCGAGCGCCTCTTTCGCGGTGGGGCTTCACTGGGGAGGCATGTACCGCACGCTGCATGCGAGGTGCCTGTTCGTGTCCCCCGGGGCCTCCCCGGCCCACGTGGCCACCCCGGATGCAAACGGGGTGCCTGCTCGAGCCCAGCTTGCAGAGCAGCTGCAACCGCGGCCCGCTCAGCCCGGACGTTGCCTACCTCTCCACTGTTTCGCAGAAGAGCACGATGACCTCTTGCTGGGCATCGTACTCCTTGGGGGACTGCACAGGCACCATGGCAGAGACGTAGCTGCAAGGGAGAAAGCACAGTGGAAGGGGGCGCGGACAGTGTCTCCTCACAGCGTCGCAGAGCCGGAGGGGCATCATCCGGCCGCCACCTCCCCGTTGGCACCCCTGCGAGCCGGCCGGCGTCAGGAGGCCCTGCTGCCCCCTGTGCTGGCCTGGAGCTGCTGAGGGCGCCCAGCTAGTCTTGGAAGCAGGGCCCTCCGCCGCAGGAAGTGACACCGGCCCCCGTGCATGGCTGTTGTTCAGACTGTGAAAAGAGCATCGTGCTTTGAACATTGGCGGGGGAAGCACTGGGTAAAGGCTGTGAAGGGCTTTTAAGTCAATTCTTCATTTCAGGGAAATGGAAAATATCCAATGGCTTCTCCAGAAATAAGCAAGCACTCACAGTTAACATAAAATGCCTGCAGTTATTCCTAACTGCAGAACGTGCACTGAAAGTACATGGGGAAATGAACCGAAAAGGGGGGCCAATAAACCACAGGTTTTGAATGAATGGCAGAGCAGTGTGGATCCCCCAGCAGAAGAGGCCGGGCAGGGCCTCCCCAGCCACGGTCCAAGGGCCAAGCCCGGAGCGTGGGTCAGCCCTGCCCCCTTCCAGTGGGGAGCAGATGCGGCACAGCAGGGGGGCGCTGGCACGGGAGGATCGAGCGGGGGAGCCAGACACATTCCAGTTCCAAGGCTTGGTGGCCAACATCCCCCTTGTAGCAGTGACACTGCCTTCCAGACGGGATCAATCGGGGAGACTCAGCAGAGGGACACTGAAAGTTTACGGAAAGGAATGGCAGGGAGAGGTGGACAGCACCAGGTGTAGAAACAAAAAGGCCCTCCCTCTGGCTTACAAAGTGTGATGTTCTGGAGAGAGGCATCACGCTTCTTACCTTAGCTCAAATTCTGCAAAGAGGGCATCAAACTGTTTCAGCGCTTCTTTCATTCTGGCCGTGTAGACATTCAAATCCCGAAGGGCCTGGTCGCGCAAAAGGCCCCGGACCTCCTCTAGGCTGCGGGTCAGACCCTTGGCCAGCGGCCGCATTGCCATGCTCTCTATTTCCCGGTTCATGATGATTGAGCCGGCCGCCAGGCACTGCAAGTGCAGAAACGGAGACAGTGTGCTGGGGAAGAGAACTCAGAAAGCGGGGCTGGCTGGGCAGGCACGGCTTGCAATGCCGGTCTGTCCAGAGGGCGAAGCATGCTTCAGTGAGGACCAGGAAAGCACTCTGATGTTGAGGAGGCAGCTGCTACAACAATCAGCCCGCTTTCCAGTTGCACTGTAAGCTGCACCAGAACTGAGAAGAAGGTCTCATGTGTGGCAGAAGGCTACCGAGAGAGTCAAATATGTGTTCAGCAGTGTTAGAGTCACTTAACGGTCGGACAGTGTCTCTGAATTATGTTCTGGTGGGATCACTTTCAGGAACTGAAGAAAGGGAATGTGAAGGTCCAGAATGGCAGGCCAAGCCCCAGGATGCCTCGGGGAGGCTGGCGAATGGGGCAGGAGGAACCCCTCCAACGTGCCCCAGAGGAGTAAGCCCTGGGAAGAGCGTGTGCTCGCTCCGCTTGCCCACCAGGCCTACTCGCATGCAGTGGCAGCCTCCTTGGCCGTCCACCCCACTCTTCTGGGAGTCCACTCTTGTTACGTACCTCCGCTCCAAACCAGAGCTGTCCTGCAAGGTTGTCATGTCGTATTTCCTCAGGAAACTTAACACAAAAATCACGGTTGGCCCGTTCATGTGGAATGCATTCCTCCATGATTTGGTTTATGATGTTTAACACGTTATCCTGGAATGGCAACAGCACAAGTTAGTGATGCCCCGTGTTGCTGTGCAGGCCCATCACACCGGCCCCTGTGGCAAGCCAGCCCACGTCTTCTGGCACTGGGTCAGCAGGAAGGAGCGGGCTGGGGGCTTCCTTTGCTGGCCAACCACACATTCGCCCACGCAGATGAATTACCGAGAGGAACATGTGATACCAGAAAACACAGCCTGTTTGGGCTCAGAGCTTCCCTTGCTTCCGAGCCGGATGCCAGGAGCGGCCAAATTGGCCTTTTGTTTCCAGCTTCAGCAGAATTCCTCAAAACACCTGCACTAAAGATGCAGAGCTGCTAGCTGCTTCTATAGCACAATTTGGGGAAAGCTGCATAAACTTGGTAAATTAGGGCCAACTTGTTAGATATGAGCTGTTTTTCTTGTTGCGCCATCTAACATGAGACACTCAGAAGCATCCGCCTCTCCCCACATCCTCTGCCTTGGCCTCCTGACTTTTCTGACAGTTAATTTCAGATTTGTGCAAAATTTGACGCCTCCTGTCCACAGCTTGCCCGAATTTGCAATTCCAATTTGTCAAAATTGCAAGGTGGAAACTTGAATATTGTGCACATTTTCCTAGGTTAGAAATATATATATTACAACCTATTCTAAAGCAGAAGTCTTGACTCTTGCCAGATCAACTTAGTACCAGTGCAGCACTGACAGAACAGAATCCGTGGGGTGAAATCAAGAAAAATCATTAGATTTTCCTTGCTTTTATACTGAAACCCAATCCATACAAAATGAGCAGAGGAAATAGCATCTTGGCTGCTTCTGGCAGGTAAGTGAAGTGATGAGAATTTACAAGTCATAGCTGCTTGTGTGGACCAGGAGGGGAACTTAAGAAGCAAGGGACCCTCAGAAAGCACTAGAAAAAGCACAACGTCCTTGAAGAATTGCTCCTTGTCACCAGTAAGAGCTCCAGGTGTGACAAACTCCCTTCCAAGAGTGGGTCCCATTTCCCTGGGCCGCTGGCCCTCTATCCTGAGCCACTCCAGCCTTGAGTGGAATGCACAATGTTTAAATCAATTTCATTTGCCCAACATATTTCCTTGCTTTATCTAATCATCAGCATGATGGTTCTGGTTCAAGGGCAAGAATGATTTTAGCTAAAAGCCATTCTGGTTACCTGACATGAACGGAACTGGTTGACCAACAAGGTGCATCTTTGCGGGTCTTTCCTTCCATCCAGACTGTCTAGTTCAGCCGCAATTTGATTTAGCTCTTCATCGGCATAGTAGAATTGAGCAAGGAGCTGTGGATCAGTCCTCTGCAGAAGAGATCGACACATCTGTATAAATGCATTATTTTCAAGGAACGATCACTTTTGCTTGATTGGATTCCAATGCATTTAGTAAAGCAACAACTCCCATTAAACAAGACAGGAAAGCGGCACTTTGTGAAATAAATATATACTTTTGGGTGCAAGTACTGTGAATGTAATAGAAGGGCGTCGAACATCCTCCGTTTTGTCCCAGTTTTCATATTTTATGTATAAAGGCCCAGGCAGTCTTAGAGGAAACGGACCATGCAAGTGTTTCTGGGGAACTGAGTTTTGGCACGAAACGCACCTGCAGCCCCTGCAATGACTGATGACAGACAGGTGTGGGGGTGCAAGGCTGTGAATTCCCCTGGACCTCTCAGCATCCTTCCACTTCATGCCTGCCGCCTCCTTCTGGAATGGCCTGCCTGAACTGGGGGCAGGCCAGGCATTTCTGCTAATATCTGGGAAGCTGTTTTCAGAAGGCCCTGCTCAGGGGCTTCCTGGCTCCTTAGCATGCAGGCACTTGGCCACAAGAGTTCTCTTGCACCCAGCAGCTGAGGGAGGTTATCCCGAGAAGCGGCACTTCCCTGCACAAGCCTTTTAACCTGAGACTTCAGTAGGGCTTCTGCTTCATTTTTCTTTGCAGGATTACGAGTATGTCCTTTATGCGTATTTTTTCAGCTGGGGGTGTGGGGGAGGTCTGACTTTGCCCTTCATACCCTACATTATATAGGGTACTACATGGGCACACAGGGTGGCAGTGCAGCACAGCTGTGGTATGCTCAGAGTCTGAAAACACAAAAACCTATCCTAGCATCTGACTGAGGGATTCAGAAATAATACTGGACTCTCTTTGCTGGGTGACATACAAACTTTCCATAAACTGTCTTGGGAGAAGAATCGCAAGTGCATCACCATAAATGCCTCAGTGTGAAGAGATTCCTGGAACGCAGCCTCATCTTTATGTCGAGAATGTGCAATGTTTTATAGCTCTCTTTTTCACTGGACTCGGGTGAGGCAGGGGCTGCGCACAGAACTACTTGCAGTCAGAAATACTTGGCTGCAATGCTTCTCAGAAACCCAGTAATTCTACTCAGAGATTTGGACTTGTCTGTGGTAATCACTGGCATGTGTTTTGTGTTAAGACCTCTTACAGATGATCAAAGGGAAATTCAAACCTAGATCAGGAACGCTGAAGCACAAATAGGAGGACATACTATCTAAGCAGAGGGAAATTAAGAGAAGGTCGAAAGAATATACAGAAGAACTATGCAAATGAGATTGAGAGGAGAACAGACTCCTTCAAAGGGGAATCCCATGAAAAGCCTACAATATGAGAAAGTGAAGTGAAAGCCGCTCTGAACACAACTGGAAGGACTAAGAAAGCACTTGGACTAGTTAGGTACCAACAGAAGTTTCCCAAGCAGCAGAATCCAGATCCTAACAAGGATATGCCAACAAATATGGAAGACAAAACAATGGCCCACAAACTGGAAATTTCCAGTACACATTTCAATCTCTAAGAAAGGAGAAGGTAAGGAGAACTGATTTCCCTTACAGGGGTTGCTCACGGTGCCTTATATGGCGTGAGGAAGGCCTGGCAGTCACGCTGGATTCCAAAAAGGAAAAGGCACTCAAGGTCACATTGCAGATACATCAGATGCTGGGGTGCACCAAAGAATTTCAGAAGATCCGTCCGTGCTTTGGAGACTACGGCAAAGCCTTCAACAGTGTGGACCCTGAGCAGCTGTCCAGGGTCCTGAAAGAAAGGGCTGTGCCCCGGCACTCGATTTCTCTGACGCACACTGCAGAGATTATGAGCAACGCTGGATTAGGATCAGAGGAAGGAGGGGTGAAAATTGGTGGAAGATGCACCCATCCACGCTGACGATTCCATCTCACTGGCAGAAAGCAGCAATGGTGGGAAACTACTCCTAGCAAAAGTGGGAGAAGAAAGTGCAAAAGCGGGGCTGCAGCTAACATTAAGAAAACAAAAATGACAACTACAGAAGAATTGCACAAGTTTAAGGTCAACAGTGAAGAAATTGGAAATGTGAACAATATTGTGTACTTTGGTTCAGTCATCAATTCAAAGGGGAGCTACAGCCAAGACAGCCGAAAAAGACTGAGACTTGGAAGGGCAGCAGTGAAGGGCTAGAAAAGATTGGCAAGGGCACGGACGTTCCACTGGAGGCAAGGCCAAGATCATCCATGCTATTGTATTCTGGATGTCTGTGTGTGAATGGGAAAGCTGGACAGTGAAGAAAATGGATGCATTCCAAGTGCAGTCCTGGAGGAAAAGTCCACAAATACCTCTATGGTGTTCTCAGGAAACAGGGAAATAGCACGTCCGACAAAATTGCAACCCGAATGTGGGCATGCTTTCACCTCCACCAGCACTATCTGTCAACACCGGCTATGCTGCCATCCAGAGTTTTCTCAGAGTTTGAATTGCAGCTGCAATACGTTGAAAGTGTGCACAGCAACTGCATGCAAATGCATGCAAATATTCCAGAACTCATGGCAAAGGGAATTTTATTTCCAACCCTTTTGTAAATAGCTCAGCTGAGGGATCTTTCCCGCAGAAGCCTGCACAGCGGAATAGCTCAAAATGGTAGCTTTGGGAACAACTCTGTCAAAAAGGCAGCCATTTTGGCTCGGGACCACAACTTGCTTCTGTGCCTGAACCGGTAGCGCAGTTCTCCTTCAGATTTGGCTTTTCCAAAAAGCATGTTACATTTGCACCCTCCTTTCAGGGCAGCCTCCTCCTATGCGGGCTGCTTTTGACAAGAGACGATGCATTAATGCAGAGGAAGTTTGCAGGCTGAGAAGTCAGAGCCACCCAGCCGGAGGGTCGCCTCCCGCAGACCTCCCGCTCGCCGGGCCGGGCGTTGCTCGTCCACAGCCCTCGGGCTTCCCTGCCCACCGTATGGCCGTCCTGCCACTTTGAGGGAAGGCGGCGCAGAAATGCCTTCAGTGAGGCCCCGGGCGGCCGCGGCCTCGCGCCGAGGCCTCGTCAGCACGCGGGGCCGGAGGCACGCGAGACCGGCGGCTCGGAGCCCCCACGGCTGCGAGGGGCCCCGCGGGCGGGCGGCCGGGGCTCTCCGCTCC